TATAAAATATATAATATATATCTAAAAAATTGGCATTTTGAGATTTGTTTTCTCGCCTAAAGAATACTAACGATAACTTTTATTAAAAACCACTCTATTTATCCCATTTATAACTGAGTATTCAGTGCAATGATTGCCTTGTCTCCAAAGTGTCTCCTAGTGTTGCTATTTGGACATTCCCTTTCACCAAAATCTAAAATAGTGATTTACAATTATTTAGAAATTCTGATGTCCTATTGTTAATATGATTTTTGCAACACTTTCTCCTTTCTACTACTTAAACATGATTCTAAATTAAAATTGATTTTGATTTGCAATTTTGAAATGTCTCTACTAATAATTTAAAATACATTGGGTTTGTCAATACTGGAAAGCATATCAAGGTAATCACACACTAGAATCCAGAAATGATTCCAGGGGTGTATTCTGTCTGTTTTTCTCCATATTGATTCTGATACCTGATTAGTCTTTTCTTGAGCATTATGATGTGCTTCACACAAACAAAATAGTAACCTTTATCATTTGCGGCAACATTATATAAAAGCTCTGCTAGTTATGTGAAGTTAGATCATAATTCCAGCTTTGCCTTAGTCTAGGAGAACTCTCATTGGGCCAAAAAAGAAGAAAATATTATTAAGACATTATGCTTTTTACAACAACAAAAGGAAATGCCCCATTCTGTGATATGTGCATGAAAAATTCTCTTTAAAAAGTAGATCTTTTGAGATGAGTTCCTAAAAGAATTCCCTGCTTGTGGTCCTTTTGAACTAAAGGTTGGCAAGGTGACCTTTCAGTAGCATAGGGGTGGAAATCACAATAAGTAAACTATTTTAAAGAATTTCATAAACTAAATACAGGGTCATATTTCTGAATAAAGGGATCCCTGTGACTAGAAACATGAATGAAGTGATAATAGGTAGTCCATTTCCCTTCAATGCCTTTTAGGGTGAAATTTTGCATTTCTATTTAAGTGAGCCTTTCACTTAGGCATTGCAGTGGTATCAGCAAAGCCCATCTCCCTAGTATGAGCAGATTTGACTTTTTGTTAAGGTAGGTAGATCTTTCAAAGTACATCTTCATGTGTTCTGTTGATTAGTAGCTGTACAGCCAGCTAGGCAGCTCTCTTCCTTCCTTCCTTCCTTCTTTCCTTCCTTCCTTTTTTGTTTTGGTACTGGGGATTGAACTCAGGACCTTGAGCTTGCAAGGCAGGCCGGCGGCACCACTGAGTTAACTCCCCGGCCCCAGGCAGCTGTTTCTGCTCAAGCAGGGTAAACAAGGCAGAAGAGTCATGTAAAGGGAGAGAGTCTTCCTTCCTGAGGTGGAACCAAACAGAACACCCTCTGCACTTATGTCCCACTGTCCTCATAGCCCATTTTATTCTGTGATCAACAGACAAAATATATAATAGAGAATAAATAATTAAAGATACTGGAATTTCTAGGAAGAAAACACAAGTTTTGCCTACTTTAGGGAAGAGATCATTATAGTACTAATGAAAAGAGATGGTTAAATTCAACACATCAGATTCAAATATAGCCCCAAAGTGCATCTGAAGAAAACACTATTTCTTCTATTCTTAAATATAAATGCTACAGGCTAATGCTATATGCTCATCTCATATCTGTTTCTTCCTTTATCTCAGAAAGGATTAATATCTAACATTCACTGTGTAAAATGAAGAACAGAGATATATGCCTATTAAATTCTGAATCCAGAGCAAAAAGAGGGTAAACTCTTAGCATAGCGTGAGTCTTTTTTAACAAAGATAGAGACCAGTTTCTAAGGCATTGAAGGAAGGTACTTGAGATCTTTGTTACTGTATGTTAAATTGAAGGTTTGGTGGTGTAAGAAAACTTGTGGTTAATGCTGCATATTGTGTGGTTTTTCCTTCCTACCTGAGACCACAACAACAGATTTAAGTGTAAATGGAAATAATAGATTATTTGTTTATTCATTATAATTTGTGTTAATTTCTTCTATTATATGTGAATTAGAAAAAAATACTAAATCCTTTGATACAAGCCCTGTTACAAATCCATATATACCTGTTTTCCATCTTATCCTCTTGGTCTTTATTCCATTTTTCCTTGTTTAATTTTGCAGCCTGCTTTTACATTACCAGATGATTTCTGTTAGATGGAACTCTTGTGACTCCTCTGTCCATCTGCCTAGCTTATCACAATACTTTCAAAGGAACTTCTTGCTACCAATGACAATGACTAATTGGTTTAAAAATGATGGTATCTGTAAATATGACACAGTATTAGGAAACAGCATTTATAGCTGATCAAATGAATGTTTAACCCTACAAAAGACTCATAATTACCAGGTGATAAGTATATAAAATTTCCTTTCTGAGTAAAACTAAAGGCTCTAGAGGTTCTGAGTTAGTCTTCAGTTATTGTATTTAAATTGATTAATGCTGTTTATTAGCAATTTCTTTCCTCAGTCCAAACAAAAATCACCTTAAAATATTCTATGGTATGTAGCAGATTTCAGGAACCCACATGGAAGTCAAGACCTCAAATGTTAGGGACCTGAGTTAAAAAATCAAAATTCAGAAAGATTTAACTCCTTTCTACTTAGGAGTTATTGCTGGTTTGGCAGTTCCAAGAAAGAAGCCATTTGATGATTTCATCTAGGCAGATTAAGGGTTCCAGGATATTCTCCTAACTATATGAAAACCTGGATTATACAGTCTTGAGTATGACCTAAAACTTGGCAAGGTCTCTCACATTTATCTTAGATTGGATACTGATCTCCAGGATAACACTGATACCTGGTAAGCTCTCATTTTTCCATTACTGTCTTTAAAGTTCAGATTTGTGACATATTCTTATCACAAAATATGGTCAAGGTTAAACACGGACTGAGTACTTTAGTAACTAACATGTTGCACCATTATGAGTCTTCCTGGCAGACCATGAGAGGCCTGTGAGCTATTATCTAGGAAAAGTTGATATAATATTGCTGTAAAAATTCAATTTATACATGACCCATTTCACTTACACAACAGAGAGAAATGTTTGAAAATGTAAGTAGTTTTTGTTTCACAGACAACCTCATCTCTTCACCCTCCTAATATTTCTTCTTCATGTACCTAAATATCTATCACAGTATGCTGAAACAGAAGCTAAAGATGCTTCACCCAGAAAGTTCTAGAGGCCTTATAAATGTGCGTTTCTACCATAAAAGAGCAAGGACAATTTAGTCTCAAATATTGTAGCTTAAATAAAACACAAAAAAGCAAGCAAACAAAAATCATCTAGAACACAATTTTTAAATTGCCAGTATACTATCCTTTGATGTTGATAAAACTCACCAAATCCAGATTGTACAATTCCACTTACTTCCATTTTTGTAACAATACTTTAAAAAATTCTCATTTTGTATATAGTGTGAAGAATGGTATCATATAAATGAGGCAGAAAGGTTCAAAAAGCACATGTAAGATGCCTATGACTATCTAGTAAGTGTTGCCAGTTGTGAAAAGATCTGACATGCTAATACACACTCATTCAGATCTGTTACTAAGGCACGAAGAGCAAGATGGCTGGCAGACTCTGCATTTAAGTTGTTATCAAGGCCCCCAAATATTGAGAGATTGCCAGATTCTAGGAAACTATTATATATACAGCCAGCCGCAGTTCCAGACACCTCTGAGACAGAGTCTTTAAATGTCACAGATAAATGAATTTTCATAAAACTGAGAGAAACAGAGAGATGGAGAGAGAACAAGAGACGGAAAGAGCGGGGGAGGGAGAGGGGGAGAGAGAGAGAAAGAGGGGGGACGAGAGAAAGAATACAGAATGAGAGGCAGGAAAAGAAAGAAAAGAAAAGAAAGCAGGGAAGGAAGGAAGGAAGGAAGATAGATCACTTCCATAATACTGACATGAATTCATGTAGCATCTCCTCGCTGAGGCTCAATCAGAACTTCTGACAAAGGCTGAGAGAACAAGTCTTCTGGACGCATTGCGTTCCCAGGCACGTGAACATCCTTCATCAGTACAACCAGTGCAGACGTTGTCTCTGAAGGTGTACCCTGACTTAGTACAATTGTCTTACATGTTTTATATGTTTTTTGGCCTATTAATCTGTTTTTCAATCTATATACATGATAATTAACCCTTGCAAGGTCTTATAAGTTAAATAAATGAATCTGATGCTGGCATAATAAAAGGGGGATATAGTTGAAAGGAGGTGAGGGGAAAAAAATTGAAATATTCTACGTATATGGAGTAATTCCCTACAAGGAATGTAATCATTATGGCCTGCAAACACACAGTAATAAAGTAAAAAAAATAAATTAAAAGGATACTTATGATAGAATAGCTTCAATGAGCCAGCTCTGAACAAAATATGGTTACATAAAAACTACCTAACTATAAATCTATATTAAAGGTTAAAAATCAAGGTATCATGAAATCTGTCTCACCAAGGTTCAGATGTGTCCTGTGGCAGCTTCTTTCCAGAGTCTCGCGGAGAGTAGTGACACTTGATGGGTTTATTACAGGATATGGTAGGATGCCTTCCTCCTCCACTTCTCTTTTCCTGCTTTTCCACAAAAAACTCCTGCTGGGAAATATATGAGGTAAATCAGATGCTAGAAGATGATTTTAATAGAAACAAGCCACGGTTATACCTAGAACAACCAATTACTCCTTAGAAATCATGGGTAACTCAGTGTATTTTAAATGTAAATGAAGCTTTTTTAGTTGGAAAATCTTCCATCTGCTGAGGGCACCTTCTCTTGACCTTGATACACTGTGTCATTAAAAGCAGCCACACTTTCAAGGTTAGAATATGTCTTGCTTGTACATTTACTTTTCTATGCTAGACTTGTACAATCTCTAGATTTTACATAGAGTAATCATTCCAAAGCCCACAAACAAAATTCTTCCTCCATCCAAAACCATATCGGTGAATTCTTTAAAAAATATGCAGCAAAATGGTTTCACCAAGCCTCAGTGTCTTTTTTGCTAGAATTATAATAAAATTTGGTATAAATTCTTTTACTGTATCTAGCTCTCTTTCTCACAAGTACGTAAGACAATAGCAGGTAGTTTGAGAATAAAGTTCCATAGCCTAAATATTCAGCAAAGGTTTTGTTTTTGCATCAAGGTTTTAGTGATTTCTTATTATCTTTCTTTTTTTATGTTAGGAGATAAAATGACCTGCCATGGGAAAAATAATTATTTTCCCTGTTTCTAAAGGCTTTTATTTTGAAGACAAAAATCAGTTTTAACTCAAATGGAAATTGCAGTAAAATCTCAGACACTGTAATCAGTGACTGCATTAAAACTCTGCAAAAGTAGCCAACTTCCATGTGAGGCCACAATTCAGCCAGGATCACAAAGAGACATTATCCATTTTGCCTGTGGCCATTCTGACATTTTATATAGTAAAATTTTTATACTGTAAAATTAAGGTTCGAGGCAATCTTCTCTAATATGTTAAACACATCCATATACATACCTACATATACAAACAATGATCTTCTCCTGTGATCATACAATAAATTGAAAAGTTTGGGTTATCTTAGAATAAGGTTTAATAAAAATTTTTAGAAAGGTTGTTACATTTTTCTGATTATATAAAAGTGTACACAGACTATTCAGTTGACTGGTTGAAGCAAACAATGTTATACCCATGCAAAAATATTGTAAAGCTGCTGAAAAGAATCTAAGACATTATGTATGGTACAATACCTCTTATGTGAATAAACTGTATATGTATATACATATTATATATATTATATATTGTATATATACATATACATACTAGCATATACACAAACTTTTTTTCTTGTAGGAGATACCAAACAAGATATATTTTAAGGTATTTGGAGGTGGTGATAAAGAGAATTTTACTTTAATGTATATTGTTCTGTCTTGCCTGAATTTTTAAATCATATGTTTGAAAGATACAGCCACAGATACCTAAGTGGCAAGGTTATGAGATTTTTTTCTTTATTTTTCTTTATATTGTTGGGACATTTATCATGTTTTTTGAAAGAAATATATCCAAAATAAATTATTTTGCTAGTGATAAGAACTTTAAAACACTAAAAAAAGCATAAATACAAGAAAAGTTATTTCTAATTCTTTGATGAACAATAACAACTGTTGAATTTTTGGTGGGTGATGTCAGGTTTGCAAAGTCTCTTCTCCTTTCTAAATTTCGAGAAAAAAGAACATTTATATTGCCTTGAGTAGAACTGGGGAGAAAACGGCTTGTTGGGCTGTTCTGTCATATACCTTTTGGCCACCATCTACTGCAACACTGTTTTTGATTGGAAGGAAAATGTTGAAGCAGCATAGGTTGTACATGACATTTCTAAAATGGTACATGTCTGTCCTTTGTCTGCTATTGTCCCCTGCAAAACATCATCTTGGGACTGCCCTGGGATAGAACATGGTGTCTCATTATGGAAGCCATGGGAGTTGGAGGCAGAGGTGGCCTGATGATTCCCCACAATCATAATGTTTGAACTGAAATGCTTTCTGGAGGGCTCAGAAATGTTTTTCTCTTTTGAAAGCACAGAGATGCTTCCCTGCAAGGTACACTGCCTTATTCCTTCTTCCCAGCCTATGGAAGAGAGGTGGCGTTATGTAGTAGGAAAATGACCTAATGATTACAATACCTTAAAATTCTTGATTTGTTGAGGATTATGTTTCAAAGAAGGGTATAAACCTTCTATTTCATGAAAAACATGGGGTGTTACTATTCATCTTTTAAATAACTTCTTTCCTTTCGAGAAATTTAAAATTTTAATTCACCAATGTTGTTACTATTCATGAAAAGACAACACATGAAAATTTTATGGCTAAAAATTTTTAATTGCTTTCTATGTGTTGGGTAGTTTACTCAAATTACTTTCATTTCCAAAATGCCTGTGTTATTGTTGTTGTTAATATGGCTTCCATGTTATAGATGAGAAAATGTAGGCTTAAAATGTCAAAAAACTTGCCCAATGTCACAGATCTATTAAAAAGCCATGAAGATACAAATCTCTATCAGGCTGATGCCAAAGCTTCCTTAAAATAATTTCCCAGATTAGATTTAATGACTCGCCACTCAGAGGTCTAAACCATACCCACAGCTTTCTGTTTTTTCTATTACTCTGTGTGTGTGTGGGGGGTGAGAGATAGAGACAGAGAGAGATGAGAGAGAGAGAGAGAGAGAGAGAGAGAGAGAGAGGGAGAGTCTAAGCATACTGGATTTCAAATTAAATGGTAAAAATTTCTATAGGACTCCATTTTTCTCACCTCTAAAATGGATAGCACCTAGTAACCCAGAGGTTTATTGTGAAGACCAAATGAGATAATATGATGAAAGCACTTAGTATACCTAAAATAAAACATTATCATTATTACTATACAAGTTTCCCTCCTTTGCATAATGGATGTGTTCTGGAGAAGGTGATTATGAAAATGTATAGGCTTAACTTCTATTATCAAATCACAGAGCAATTACATTATAAAATAGCAGAAAAAGATTCCTAACAGATTGAGATGAACACTGACGGAAGGCAGGGGTTCAGGGGAAGGTTGGATCTATGGTAGCTTTACTGAAAGCAGTCTGTGAGTCAGCAGCAGTTTTAGACCCTATCTCCCTCTTCTCGGCAGTTTTAGATCCAGCCTCTTGGGTCTGGCAATTCCGGATTCCACTCTAGCAATTTTTAGAGATGATTTCTTCTTTTCCTTTTGTCTGGTTATAAGGGCTAATGAAATGTTTAGGCAAAAGCAATACTTCACCTGAAGTTCCTATCTCAGATATCATATATAATGGAAAAATTCTTTAATGTGAGATTCTTAACTAGGCATATTAATTAGTGTTGTATGTACTCTGTATGTTTGGTTAGCAGTTTCAGTCAAATGCATTAAAAATACTTGCATTAGCTTCATCATATTCATTACATTGAAAAGCTCTGGCAAAGCTCTGGCCAGGAACTATATCTTCTACTTTCTTGGAAACCCCACACTTACCAGTGATGTCTATAAATAAAATGAAACCTTAAATAGTACTGACTTCACTTTCTACTCATAACCAAACCTGACTCAGGCTGAGGAACTATTTTCTTCCTCTGGTCTCATCAGATATAAGCGTGTCATGTTACTGACCCTGGCAAAGCTACACACTCCCACATTGTCCTTTATGTTAACAGCCTGCTGCATCTTGGGGCTTGCCTATTCTTGAGGTACTAGGACTTTTACTTAAATTAATGCTTTCATGTCCTCTCAGGGCATTCTTTTACTTGTGGAAAATACTGAGAAAGAAAGAAATTAAAAAAATAAGCCATCTGCTGTCCAGATCTTAGGGAAAGCAGTGATGTTTCAAAACACCAAATTCAAATAATCAAGGGCACAAAAGCCTTATTAAATGTATTCATTTTCTTATCTTTAGAACTCAAGTAGGAAACAACATCCACGCTCAGCAGGCCAACCAGTATCAAGTGAGGTGGGTCAGCATAGTCTACAGACGAGCTAGCTTAGGCATATCAGCTCAGAAGTACTCTCCATAAATTACAAAGCCCTTGTTCCAGATTATCTTATTCTGGCAGCCTAAAGAGCCACAGCCAGTGTGTCTGGTTCTAGAAAAATTCATACAGGTGCATTTCTATCATATTTAGTATTGGGCCATAAGCAGACTGTAGGATCTCTTCAAAGTACCTTTACTTTATTGTGTTTTTTTTTGTATTCTCATTTTTAATTCCTATTCCCCACCTTATATTTTTCTTATTTCTAATGATAAAAAACTAATTCATTCATTTATTCTATAATAAATATAAAGTATTTCAGGGAAGAATGATTAGATGATTGATAGCTAAATAAAAATAGGTAATAGACAAATAGCGAGATAAAACAAATATGAACCATGGCCTCACAAATGGCTAAGAGAAAATTACTCTGGCGTGAGGATACTTTAAATTACATACTGAAGGATACTTGTGATGTCAAGGTATAAAGAGTCAGGATAGATCATTTCATGCAGAATAAGCAGCACAAACCAAAATTAGCTGATTCATTAGCATGAATTAGAAAAGCAAATAATTTGTTTTATGAGAGAAACCAGTAGTGAGAAAAAAACTGAGAAGGTAAATTAAGGTTACATCACAAGGGAACATGAGTATCAACCATCAGTAATCTAGGTGTGAAAAATATAATCAACAACTCTCCAGGTTTCATAATTTCAGTATATTGTAGTATAATCCATCATAATCTTTGATTCTTTAGGTGCCATAATGTTAAGTTATATTATTGGGGAAGGAAAAGTCCTCATATCAAAAGAATCCTACACCACCTGAGGTTATCACGATTCATCCACCGAAGTTAATCATAGCACAAGATTTGGAAAAGAATCTTGCCAGCTCCTCATCACAACAACACTGGTCCTTCACTCTCAGGAGTAAATTCCATAGAGTTGCCTGAGGCTGGCTGAGGTGAGAGGTATCACGAGCACATGTGAGATGGCTACAGAAGTGTTTGACAGAAGCTGTCATTTGATTTGCCTGGTGCCAACATCTTCATAAATGACTGGTTACTTATGTCTAATGTAGCTCTCCCTCTGAC